TCATCTATTAGTGATAGGTAATATCGTTCTTCACCTATGCCTTCATTGTATGGACCCCAAAAGTCCATATATACTCGTTGAAGCGGTCTCTTTGCTCTAGGAACTGGAACATGGCTCTGATTTTTCACTTGTTTTGCTTTGATGCACACTTCGCAATTACTTTCAAGCAGTTTATCCTGTTTGCCAATTTTCAATTGGTCCAAGTTCAAGGCTTCAACACAGACGTTGAAACGTCTCTTTCCGGGGTGTCCAAGTCGTTGATGAATGAGTTGCTGACGTTGGTCGATCTCATTTTCAGTTTCAGCTCTAGCGGCTCGTCCACTAAGCAGTTGAATTACTGACTGCACATCTGGCTTTGTGATGAACTCAGCGCACTTTCTTGCTTGCTCTGGCTTCACATACAGAGCGTTTGCGTGCGTAACTCTATCCAGATAGGTTGATCGTCCAATTCGTCGTCCTTTGGCAACTACTTTGCCATCCTTCAGTATTGTATAACCCCATTTCGTTCCTCTTGACTCGAATCCAACAACATGGAGCGCTTCTAATGACAATAGATTCTCTGCCAAGCCTGGTACATATATGGTGTTACTCAATCGGACCATTGACCCATTTGGCAGGGTGAATTTCACTGTTCCTCTTCCCTCAATGGGTATTTGAATTCCATCTGCAACAGTCAGAGTTCCGCGGCTCCTCTGGTCCAACTTCTCAAAGACATCTTTGTTGCCGGTTGACATGCTTGTGGCTCCGCTGTCAAAACACCATACTGATGGGTTGCTGCTGCTTGCGTGGTTTGCCTTATCACTTGTAAATCGACCCACTTCCGATTTCTCTATCGCGTACGAGCTAAATTCATCCAGCTCTTCTTGATTGGCATCATTATTGTTATTTCGCTCTCCGACAAATCGGCCCTTTTGCTTTGTCAATTTTCCTTGTCGACCTTCTTGTCGACCTTTGGATTTTTGATGATCCTCATCGTCATCACTCTCATGCTTGTTCTGACATTCCCTCGCGAAATGCCCTGCCTTCCCGCAGACATAGCATTTTGATCCACTTTTCTTCCTTCTCTTGCCATCTTTGTGAACCCTTGATCCTTTCTCACCTGCAGATCCTCCTTTCATCTGCATGAGATCCTCGACCCGGCTCAGGACATATTCCTTATCTAAAGTGGCGTTTGAACTCATCACTGTATCCCTCAAGGTAGTATACTGACTGCCCAATCCTCGCAGATACCAGATCACAATCAACTCCCTGATATTCACCATCTCGCTATTGTTCATGTCGATGAATTCCTCTCCCAGTTGATTGATTTCACGGAATGCTTCCTTCTCGTTCATTCTCGTATTATCCCAAGTCCAACTGGACATCTTCATCAACTTCATAGCCTTTCTGGTGTTTGATGACTTCAAGAACATCTCCTTTAGGCGATCCCATTTTAACCCGGCAGTCTCTTGATCTTTTATCTCCAGAATGGTTGCTGGTGAAAGGCCTTGCTGGACAATCATATTCGCCTTCAGATTAATCTTAAACCAGTCCATATCCTCCTTCAAGATCTTATTGAACTCTGCCCTTCCTACCTCATGGTAGTACTCAATCGCCTCCCAGGCAAACTGGGTCTTCAACTGGTCCTCCATCATATGAAACCAGTATCTAGCGTTCTCCTCATTCAGCCTATCAATCGGAAATTGGTATATCTTGATTCCATTCTCTTTTGTTGGCTTCCTACCATTCCTCCCTTGCCCTGCCCTAGGCCTCTGCGCCGTTGATTGCGGCATGGGGTTCTCCGCGATATCTGATTCTTCTGTCATTGTAGCGTTCTCACGACTCAATAAACTTCGCCGAGCGGATTACTGGCCGATAATCTCGTGGGAAGATAATCGAGGGTGAGGCTCGCAGTTGGGATCAATCGATCGGTCTATAGACGATGTTAAGCGACTATAGAGCCCCCGGGGTACCAAAGCGTTTGTTAAGACGTCAGTATGGTAGGCCCGGGCTCATAACCAATGAAACGGATAAACCAATAAGGCGGTTAACTCCGAGTCGGGGAAGTCGGGGAGTCGATTATCCGGACTGCACGAGGCTATATATGAAGAAGAAACTTAGATTATACGGAGGGTGACAATGATATCTATAGACACCGTAGATGGTAGAATGAGTGCTTGGCTATCTAAACGAGTGTGTGTGTCCGTATATGAGGGATCTGTCGGCCTTGGTAATCGGACAAACTATTGATCCACCTCGACTTTCATCAATCAGCATCCGCGGTCAGCTGATCCCGTCACGTGGTTTAATACCCGATTTCTTGTTCGGGATGGCATGAAGCTCAACAGATTTCCAGCTATACAAACAGAACAAAGTATGCACTATCCCAATGCCGGACCAGTCATTGTACAACTCTGCGCTGTATCAGTATATACTCATACTGCTGTAGTGCTTTACCTAGCCATATGGGTTATCCGTAGTGTCTCCGAATCTACTTGTACTTTGTGCATACAAGCATTCTACATAACCAATGCAAATATATTCGAGACTCGGCTATTCTCTCCAATGCATAAAAAAGTAGGCATTATTAATTGTCTTAAATTTCATGCTCTGTACGGAGTATCACCAATATCAACTTGACAGCTGGGCGGTGTCGGCTTTCCCCGAGAACCACAACCACCACCACTACCGCTTTCTCTCCTGTTGTCCTCAACTTCCTCCTCTCCACGTTCCATCGGCTCTCCCAATTGCCCTCCCGGCTTAGCTGTTCTTCCCTCTCACACCTCTCTCTTCTCTTCTTCTTCTTCTTCTTCTTCTTCTTCTTCTTCTTCTTCTTCCTCCTCTTCTTCTATCCTCCTCTCTTCTCTTCTATTTATCCCGTTCTTATATTTCCCTCGAACTCGGGTTTCTTCTGTTCATTTTCCCACTCGTGTGTTTACTTGTGAGCATTAGTAGAGCGTTCGACATTGTCTTATTCGTCGTTCTATTATTTCTATAATCCATTCCCCACGTTTCGTCGCGGTAAAGAAACACTCCGAAGCAATTCAGTGAGTTGGTCGATTTTCCGTGAAACAGTTGGGTATGTCCAGATCACCCAACACCTCCGCTGAACTGTCCGGTACTAATCCATTTCGTAGACTATACAGGAATTTTGGGTCTTCCATCTGATCCAATTGCGTCTCCCCGAAATCGATCCGTTTGATTGCTCCTGGTATTCCCCTCGTCATGGCTGCTGAAGCTTCCAACGTCAATGGGAACAAGTCCCTGGCCGCTATGCTGGAGGAAAAGCATGAGAAGGACGCCGCACACAAGGCAACTGTTGAAGCAGTTCCGGATGAGGATGACATCCAACACCCTCCTCCATCGTCGTTGGTGAACGAGAGCAAGCCAGACGCTCCGGCAGCCGCTCCGACACCTGCCCAAGCTGCCCCGGCTCCGACCCCCAAGCCTGCTTCCAGGAATGGCCCCGCTCTTGACGTACAATCGGAGGAATTGTTCCCTGCCTTGGGAAGTGGTCCCAAGCCAACGACTCCGGCTGCGGCCACCTGGGGTGCTAAACCATCGGCTGCTGCCGCGGTTGCCAACGGTTCCAAGGCCCGTAAGTCTTTCTCTACTATGCAATGCAAACATGATTTGAACGCTGACCGAACGGATCTCAATAGATGGTGGGTTTGGTCCTTCTGATGTGCCCAGGATCATGAGTCTTCCTGGAAAGCACATGGAGCAGCTCCGGCTTGCGCCTTCTCAGATGCTTCCTCGGGGTCAACTCAAGAAGCCTCTCCGCGATATCCTCCGTGATATTTCCAAGCGTTCCAAGGCCAATGTCGACATGCGGGGTGGACCCGGAGGGTCGATCATTTTTGAGGGTAAGGGCTCCGTAGATGCTGTCAGACAAGCCCTGAAGGATGTTGCGCAGCAAGTTGGATCCAAGGTACGTTCTCTATTATATATTATTGGGTAATTCTATAATTAACCAACGCTGTTTCAAGCAATCCGTCCGTGTCCCAATCCCAACTTCTGCTCGTCCGCATATCATTGGTCGGCAAGGCGCCGTGGTTCAGGACATTCAACAGCGCACCGGTGCGCGTGTCCAAGTTCCCCGAGTCGACGATCCTGCCGCTGGAGGCGAAGACGATGATAGCGACACCATTGACGTGTTGATCGAAGGAGATGCCGTCGCCGCGGAGATGGCTCGTCGGGAAATCGAGGCAATTGTGAAGGAACGGGCCTCCAACATTAGCTTGCGAGTCAAGTCGATCCCGCCAGAGTTCTTCCCTTTCATCGCAGGTGCTCACAACTCTAACCTTCGAGGAATTGAAGAGCGTACCAGTGCTCAGGTTCATGTGCCTCGCTACGACACCTGGCAAAACCAGCCTCCACCCCAGGAGGCGGTTCCGGGCCAGGTGCAATTCGTGGCAGTCCCCGACAAGGCTATTCATATCTCCGGAGAGCGCACGGCGGCCCAGGAGGCTCGTGCTGAGATTGAACGACTGGCCAGTGAGTTGCAACGCCAGTTGACCCTTCGCGAGCTGGCGATCAACCGTGGTCAGCATCAGTTCATTTTGGGTGACAGAGATGACGCCCTGCACGAGTTCCTTGCCGAGACAGGCTGTGCGATTGTGTTGCCTCCACCTTCCGATGAGAGTGAATTTCTCACCGTTACGGGCCCATTAGACTGCATCGAGGCAGGTATCAATCGGGCCATGGATCAGGCGACGAGCATGCAGATGGCAAGCATTGACTTGTCCCGTCAGCACGCCGGCGCTCCTGCCGGACCTCACGCGCACGCTCGTGCTCTCACCCGGTACTTGAGACAGCGTCAGATCATCAATGAGCTTGAAAGAATGCACGACGCCCGCATCGCTCTTCCTCCTACGTCCGACGGCCCCGTGACATGGGAGGTGTACTCGCGTGACGGAAAGAACACCATTCGTGCCCGTTCCGACATCATGAACCTCGTTCAAGCCCACCCACCCTCAAGGATCCGTCACGTCTCTGTCGACCCTTACTTCCACCCCTACCTCAGCTCCCGGAGCGTATCCAAACTGCAAGATGACTACGGAGTGCGTCTGATGGTTCCTGACGATGTCGACAGCCCCGAGGTTGTGCTCGTCTACGAGGGTCCGTCCGCCAACACTGCCAACTTCGAGATTCCCCGTCAGCGGCCCGCCCCTGCTGAGCTTACAGCCTTCGAGAAGGCCCTCCAAGAAGCGCATGACTACTTGATGGGCACTCTGGGCGACCAGAGCAACGTGGTGGCCAAGTCGGCCAGCGTGCCTGCCAAGTACCAGGAGAAGGTCCGAAAGTTCATTGCACGTGAACAGCAAGCTAAGGGTGAGGACTCCATTCCTATTCGCGCCTTAGTTGGCGACAGAACTGGAGCTTCGTGCGACGTTTCGCTACGTGGTCCTTCTGGCTCTGTAGACGAGTTGATCTCCAAGCTGCAAGCCTTCGTGGTTGAGCAGGAGAAGGATGACCTGGAGCGAGGATACACCACCTCGTTTGACTTCCCGCAGAAGTACGCCAACTTCCTCATTGGCAAGCGCGGCGAGAACATCAACAAGCTGCGTGACGAGTTTGATGTCGACATCAAGGTGGACAGTGGCAAGGTTGAGGTCAAGGGCCCCAAGGCTAAGGCCGATGCTGCTAAAATCCGGATCATCAACCTCGGCAAGAAGCTGGAGGATGAGACCACGCATGTCCTGAAGATTCCCGCCCAGTATCACCGTGAGTTGATTGGGCAGAAAGGTAGCCAGGTCAACCGCCTCCAGGACCGCTACGCTGTTCGCGTTCAGTTCCCCCGGGCGACGATCTCCGATGACCAGTCGCAGGCCGAGACATCCAGTGAAGTCGGTGTTTCTCGCGCCGCTCGCTCTGACGAGGTGGTCGTGAAGGGTCCGAGCAAGGGGGCTGATTCCGCCCGCGACGAGATTCTCAGTCTCTTGCAGTGGGTGGTGGACCACTCGTACTCGACGTCGGTATCTGTGGCTCAAAGTCAGGTTCCGTCGCTCATTGGTGCGCGCGGGCGTGAGATGGACCGTCTCCGTGCGGACACTGGAGCGCAGATTGATGTTCCTGGAGCAAATGATGCACCAGATGCTTCTGGGCGCGTGCAGATTAAGGTCAAGGGTACCAAGCAGCAGGTTGATGAAGCAAAGAAATTCCTGCAGCAGCGTGCATCGGAGTTTGACTCTACAATTACCAAGACCATTGACGTGGACAAGAAGTACCACAAGGCTCTGATTGGTGGTGGTGGTAAGTTTTGATTCTTTGTTCCAGTTGAATTTTTAGTCTACAGTAAGCTAACGATCAATTCTTTGTTATGTGCAGGTGCAAACATCCGCAAAATTGTTGCTGATGCCGGTGGCCCTGCTGATGGCAGCGCGGCTCGATTGGTCAAGTTCCCGCGCCCTGATAGTACCGAGTCTACGATCCGACTGGAAGGCAACAGCAATGTCGTTGAGAACATCATTGCCACGATCGAGGCCTTTGTCAAGGAGCGGGAGGACCAGGTGACAGCCAATGTTGAGGTTCCGCCTGCGCAACACCGTATGCTCATCGGTCGGGGCGGTGATACCCGCCGTGGAATCGAATCGCAATTCAATGTGACTCTAGATATTCCCAAGCAGGGTTCGGGTCGTTCCGACGTCAAACTCAAGGGTGCCAGTGATGCTGTCGAGGCCGCCAAGGAGCACATCCTGGGCATGCTCAAGGACCAGCAGGGCGAGACAGTGGAAGTCCCGCGACACCTGCACCACGCCGTTTCTGACAACGGCGCGTTCTTCCGTCGTCTTCGGAACGACTACCAGGTGACAGTGGACCACGCGGGCCAGCAAATTCCGCCCCGACCGGTCTCGGAAGAGTCCCGAGCCGTCGGCAACGGAGCGACCTCGCTCCCGCTCATCACAGACGACCCAAGCGAATCCCTCGACGCTCACTCCTGGAAGGTCATCGACAACGCCGTCGAGGCTGACCCCTCGCAGCCCGCCACCTTTCCCTGGGTTCTGCTGGGCAGCGGCGACAACGTAACCCGCGCCAAGACAGCACTGGAGAAGGCCATCTCCAGCGCCTCGCAGCAGTCCTCAACAGGTTACCTGATCCTGCCCGACCCCAAGACCTACCGCTTCGTTGTCGGCCAGGGCGGTAGCCAGATCAACACGATCCGCAAGAAGACCAACTGCCGGATCAACGTGCCCAAGGACCAGGCCAAGGGCGAAGCGATCGAAGTCAAGGGAAGCAAGGACGCCGTCGAACAAGCTAAGGAGTTGATTCTGGAAGCCGTTGCGGCTGGATTGGCTGGTCGTTAATCTTATCGATCAGTGTAGTTTGATTATTGGCATTTCTTTTGCGCGGTTGAAAAAGTCTATATACGACATATTTATTCATGTGATTTAGCTATCTTTTTCTTTTCTTTGATTCCATTCTTGTACCTTTTTTGCTTTAGATAGATTTGTTTATTGGCATAAAAGAGTGGTTTCTGCAGTCATATTACTTACTTTCACTGGTTTTGTTGATAATTTGACCGTCTGTCTTACAGTAGCACTACTGGTAACATTGGGATCTCGGCCGCATCGTGCGACATTGCCGAATCATGCCATCGCATTGCTTATCCGGTTGGGAAAGGGGAACATGAATGTTGTTTTTTCACATGCTCTATTTCTATTTCTTTTCACCGAAGCATCGCCGTGACTAAGAAATCAAAGAAAAAAAGGACAGCATGTCTTGTCTTGTCTGCATTTGGATATCACCCAGCAACCAGCTAGTTAAAAAGAAAAGTAGTGGTAAAAAATCGTCAAATAAAACCATAAAGAAAAATCGCATGCGCAGGCGAGACACGACACGACACGACACTCCCATGCTAAATTAAAACCGGAACCCCCAAGATCAATATGAACGGGAAAATAAAAATGCTTTTTTTTCTCTTTTTTTTTCAAAGATAAAAATCACTGCTGGTTTTCAGCAGCAGCGGCATTCTGCAGATACTGATAGGTACCGTAGGCAATCGCACCACCGAGCAAGAGGAACGCGTACAGACCGACGCCGAGACCAGAGCCCGAGCTGGCGCTGGACGAGGACGAGGAAGAGCTGCCGTGGGTGCTGGGGGCTGGGTCGCCGGGCTGTCATCACCACCGTTAGTATTTTGAGATGCGTTTGAAAGAAAGAGGTCAGGGGAGCGTACCATTCTCTTCAACTTCCCGACGTACATGCCTTCGAGCAATTCGCGGGCTTCGTCGCTGTGGCCGACATCCTCGAAGGCTTCTGTTGAGTCTTGACCGCCGACGTCGAGGAGGACCTCCTCACCACCACTGTTGCCGTCAGTATCCTCCTTGTTATTGTGTATTATAGGGCGCAATCGGGTTGCTGGGTGGGGGCTTACGGGTGCTCGTCAACAAACGAAGAGCAATCGTAGACCTTGTCGTGGACGACGAGGTAGAGGTCCTTCTTGGAGGTGTGCTCGGAGACCTCGGCGAAGGTGAGTTCTTTGTCGGCCATTGTGGTGTTTGTGTCGTGTAGCAGATGTTGGACTGTGGTGATGACAGGTGGTGTTAGTGATCGTTGGGGAGAATGTTTATTTGGCCAGATCGCAATCAGGGGTATATAGTAACTCACGGGTACAACTGAGGAGGGGTTCAAGAACTGAGATATACAGAAAATAGATAGATCAGATATAAAGACAGAGTAATATAGAGAGTGTGAGAATAGAAAGAGAGTAATAAAAGGGAACGAAGAAAAGAAAAGAAGACTGCCGATCCAGACCGTGAGATATTGCCGGCGGTCTATCCGCTGATTCTGCCCGGTGCCAATCAAACCGGGCCTATTAGAAGGTGTCCCCAGGACTCCAGAATACCATATCTATATCTGGCATGTCTATCCGCGTGCAAGTATCCGTGCAATAATACCGTCTTTAGTCCCGCACCCTTAACCTCGGCCATCCTCCCGGTTCCTGTGCTCGGGATTAGTCTATCATTCACCATCGACCCCGCGCGGAATTATATACTCTCTTGGTACTCTTCAGTACATTTGACTATGTTCAGTTACCGATAACATATGCACATTCGTCACTCGTCAATGCTCATAATACATCCGAAATCAAAAATAATCCAACGCCTCTACCAAATCCATCATGGTCATAAAATATAACAAAAAAGAAAAGTCTACTTCGCAGGAACTCGCTCGTAAAACACAATATACGCCTGCTCGTTCTGCAACCGTTCTTTATGCCGCAGTTCGCGCGGTTGAAAGTCCGTCACCCGATCGTCGTCAAACTTCCGCCAGCAATGACGCTGCGCATCCCGCACGAGCGAGATGTAGTGTCCGCTGCTCATCGACGGCCCGATGTGGCGTAGGACCCCGTATGCGTCATATGTAAACGGGGGCACGGTCGCTCCCATCGGGGTCGGGGTCGGAGTGGGCTGGGCTGGTTCTGGGGAAGAGGATGAAGATGGGGGAGAAGGCGAGGATATCACGAACGGGTCCATTCTCAACCCATACAGCGGGAAGTCTATTGGTGTGTGGATCTTGCGTGCGCTTTGTGTCTTTGAAGCGGAGAAGCGCTTGAAATGGACCACGAGGATCTGGGGTGCTCGCGTGATGATTATCTTTTTTGTTGCGACTCGTTCGCATTTGCAGTACGGACACTTCCAGACCTCATCGCCGCTTAGCATTTCCTCCTGTGTGTAGCTGCGTAGACAGCTGTAGATGTCCCCTGTGCCTGACGCGGGAATTTCTACGCTGATGCTGTAGAATGCTTCGTATGTTGTTGACGTGCGCTGGCACGTCGTGCATCGTAGTCGACTCGCGTGCTGCCCCGCAAATGAGGACGAGATGAACGACTCCTCCCGGTGGCAGTACCGATCCCACTCGATCCGCGACACCTTCGGGACCGGCATGCGCTCCCGCTGCATCTCCTCGGCAAACGTCAACGGCCGCAGCGGCGTGCGCTGCCAGTTGATGTTCAGATCCTCATGCAAGCAATCTACCAGGAAATCAAAGAACTCCTTAGCATCCTGCTGGCGGTCGATCGCCCACTCCTGGTTCAACCGCCCGCAGAAGTTCCGGAACGAGGTCGGCACGATCACTTGCACATCGCCCCTCCACAGCGACCGGATCAGATTCGCAAACAACCCCGGCATCACCCCCTGTGACCCTTTCCAGTTCTTCTGTACATAAATTCGGAATCGGTTATCGTTGAAAAACTTGCTCAGCATCATCGTCGCGCTGAGGCACTGCAATGTCGAGTTCATGTAGCACGTGACGCCAAAGTTCGACAACCCTGTTCGTGGCAACTTGGGTCGGTTCAGACCTGATGGGTACAGTGCTGTCCTATTCGCCGAGTTTTGTCGTTCTAGCGGCGGCTGGATCTGTCGTCCTTCTGACACCCCACTGTATTTCGGCCGGGGCACGGCGGGTGGAGGTCGCGATGGCGCTTGCGGAACTTGAGCCGCATAGGTGGGCATAGGAGGTGGTACCAGTGGTCGAGTATGGGGCGCAGTCATCGATTCCTGGATCGCATGTGGCTCCGGGAACCGGCGCAGGAAATCTTCGTATGTATGCACGAATGGCGACGGCGGCGAACTTGCAAGTTTCGTTTCGATGCCATCTACTTCCTCCGGCTCTTCGGTTAGAGGCTCTTCCTCCTCTTGCACCGTATCAATTTCCTCGTTCTTCGATTTCTCCATCCACGCAGTGAGCTCTTCGGGGTTGAGAGGTTTGTACTCGCGTAATCGCCTCTTTCGCACTTCTAGACTGGAATTCGCGCTCACCACGGTTGGCACTCTTCCCAGAGGTCGCCCCGGCTTGCGAACCGGCCGCTTTGTTTGGATCGATCCCATTATGATTGCTGTCGACGATGTGGCTAGCGACTGCTGTCCAAGCAAATCAACCCACGCATCCAAACCTCCCAGTAATAGTGCTGGAGGTCGCCCATCCTTCAGTGGTTTATAGGCGTTGAACTCGTAGAGTGTGTCATGAAGCGCCCGCAGATGAGGCGCTGAAGTCCCAACTGGCGATCCTGCGAGGTAACTGACCGAGTCTGTCGATTGATCATAGTAAACAACCATGTCGAACTCATTCCTTCTTTCGAACAAAGGCTGCTCATGTTCCGGCGACACCACAAGCCGCTCCTCCAGCTCTTCAGCTGACACATTGGGTTTCAATGCGACGGGCTCAATGCAAATCACTGATTTGGCGTAGATATGCCCATTGTCGTACTGGTCCCGCGGGCGAACATCTATCAGTAGAATGCTGTATTCTCGTAAATAGTCAAGTAGCTCTTGTGCCTCAATCGCTGGTCGATGTGGCAAATCAGTTGTGCTGCTCTTCGCCGGATGTATACCGTTGGGAGTCTGAGACCGATATGGATCATATAAGCTGTTCCGGCTAGGACTAGCACTAGGGGAATTAACCAGGTGTGAGTATCTTGAGTTGTTGGCACGCGAGATTTCTGTCGAAGTACGCGGAGGGTTCGAGGGTGGTTGCGACGGTACGGTCCATATCGGACTATATGCTGGGTCCGGCGCGCGGGGCAGAGACGTGTCTAGAGGAATCTTTGGCGGTAGCGTGGGTACGCTGGGGGAGGATCCCATACTCCGAGGGCCAAGGGGACGGCGCGGAGGAACAGGGGGAGGGTATGGAGCGGTCGTTTGGGAAAGATTAGATGATGGTCGTGGGGGATGATCATCAACATATCCTGAGGCCGCCGGCATAGCCAGCGCTCCATTCTGTCCAACAGCCATTGAGTTCTGGTTATTTGTCGCAGATGGCATCGCTTTTAATCTGGCAAACCTCTGCGCTAGCATATCCTCCGCAGGCGCGGAAAACCGGTTGTTGTTCAACTTGGCTTGCATAGCTGACCGTTGGTATTCTGACGGGCTCGGCATCCGGATTGAACTGCTGCTTGAATCCTCCGGTCGACCTCTTGAGCTACCACTAAGGGCCGGGGAGTTTGTCGCAGATTCTCTCGAGGGCTGGACGTTGCTCGCGAGATTATCCTGGATTATCTGTTTCTTGATTTCGTCCATTGTTCCTTGTTTTGTCCGTACTGCCTATGTTCTCCAGTCAGCCAAGGCCACACTAAGAGTGGTAATTTATCTCAACTTGAGGCCTACCATCATCAAATCCGCAAACTGCTTGTACCATCCAGGTGTTTGATTGACCGTAACTTTGTAGTCGGGGTGATGAGGTATAATGTTGACAGTGATCTCGGAGGCACGGAGGTAATGTATGTAGGCTTGATCTGGCTTGTCCTTATCGGCAAGGCTTCTCGCATTTTCGATTGCTTCGTATGCCCGTTTCATCAATATACTCAACTACAAATCAAGTTAGCACCTCCCAAGCATTCCCCGCACCAAGTACATCATAACCCAAACAAAGAACTTACCGGAGTAATATCATTTACATCCAGCGATGCCGCCTCGTCTTGGAGATCCTTGATGTTTGGAAACCGAGGCGGTCCACCCCCAGCCGGTGGAGAGTTGTTGCTGCCATTCCCATAGAACTGACCCTGTTGCCCTCCGCTCGAGTACATACCACTCACAAGCGATTGAGGGCGGTTATTGCTCGCCCACGGCGCGAAATCTGGCGGCGAAGGTAAAGTCGCTGCATCGGAGGACATGTTCCCAGTATTATGAGACCATTCAACGCATTGTTCGACTTTCCTTTGGGCTTAAACGAGAGTATCGAGCAGGCGGCGATATTCCAAGGTCGGGTCGGAGGACGGCACAGCGATTGACGGAGGGCGAGAGTACGTAGGAGATTGCGAACAGCAACCACACAGATGCGCAAGAAACGACAAGAAGTATTCGTAATCGTTCCAAGACAAGCAACGTAATGCAGGAAATCACAGGTAAGAATCAAAAAGCAACAGAACGGAATAATAAGGACGAGTTGCTGTTCAGTCCACCTTCGGGACGTGGCTGTGGTCCGGGGTAAGTCATGTGACTATACACTCACCGCCAAAGCACCGCCACATTTAGGCGGTGAACGTGGTGGCTTATGTAATGCGTACGCCTCGTTGATCTGCCTGGAGCTGTGCATCAACTCATCGCAGTCGCTCTCGTGTTTGGCTCCAAACATCGACTGCTTTTTCTCCTGTTGACTCTTTATATTGTTGTATTCTGTTTTGTTTTTGGTCTCTGATTTATCTGGTTTCTGCAGATATTCTCTCGCTTTGACTCTCCTCCTGGCTGGTCTCTGCCCAACGTCATAGCGATCATCCCCTCCGTTATCAGAGCATCTTTCGTTTCAATTACAACCATATCTGAATCCTCGTCACCGTCATCATGGCGAGTTGGTTCTCGTCGACTTCGCCGCTTGATGAGCGGATCGAGAGGGCTACGTCGTCTTCTTTGTATGTTGTCTACATGTGTTTATCGGGTTCCGCAATTGGATTCCCCCCATATCAGGGCGGGTCCTAACATAACCTCTTTTTCAGGGAAGATATCGCCCTCAATCTAGAAATCTCCGACCTCATCCGGTCGAAAGGTGTACAGCCAAAAGAGGCGATGAGAGCGTTGAAACGACGGTTAGAAAGTCGGAATCCGAACATACAACTAGCGACTTTGAAGGTCGGCTCTTTTCTCTCTATAACAGCTATACTTGGCATGCTAATCGGGGGTTATCTTGCTTTAGCTGACAGACACGTGCGTGAAGAATGGGGGCACACATTTTCTTGCCGAAATCGCATCGCGCGAGTTTATGGATAACCTTGTATCGCTTCTCAAGGCGGAAGGCGCCCCGCTCAACAGCGACGTAAGAGAGAAGATGCTGGCGCTTATCCAGGATTGGGCGATGGCAGCACAAGGGCGTATGGACTTGGCGTATGTTGGGCATACTCATCGGAAGCTGGAGGACGAGGGGTTCCCATTTCCTCCTAAGTCTCAAATCAGTGGCAGCATGCTGGAAAGCAGCGCGGTAGGTTTTTTTTTTTTTTTTTTCCCTGTTTCAGGCTCTGATTGGAAACCACTTTCCACTAACATTGACTTTTCTTTATAGCCTCCAGAATGGATTGATTCGGACGTCTGTATGCGCTGTCGAACACCGTTTAGTTTCATGAATCGCAAGCACCACTGCCGAAATTGCGGCAACGTATTCGACGCTCAGTGCTCGAGTAAATCCCTTCCTCTGCCCCATCTGGGTATACTACAACCGGTGCGCGTCGATGATGGGTGTTATGCGAGATTGACATCGAAACCGTTCCTGCAACCTAACCTTTCGGACCGATCCTCCTTCAAGAACAATTCTATTACCAAGTCTAACACGATGGAACCTCGAACAGCCAAGGCGGAAGGTGGCTTTGATGATGACTTGCGTCGGGCGTTGGAAATGAGCCTGGAGGAGGCTCAGAACAAGGGCTCCGCGGGCTATGTCCCACAGGCCAAACTTGCCGAGGCCCAACCTCCAGCTGCCCAACCAAATATTGAGGAGGAAGAGGATGCGGATCTGAAGGCTGCTATTGAGGCTTCTCTGCGGGATATGGAGGAACACAAACAACAGCACGCTGCGGCTTTGAAGAATCGCACTACGGAGCCTCCTGCGCAAGACACACCGAGTGCGGCAACACCTTTGCCTAAGAACCCATACGAACTCAGCCCAGTGGAGGCGGAGAATATCCATCTTTTTGCTACTCTGGTCGACCGATTGCAACATCAACCACCCGGGACCATTCTCAGAGAACCCCAGATTCAAGAATTGTATGATAGTATCGGATCTCTTCGACCGAAGCTTGCAAGGAGTTATGGTGAGACAATGAGCAAGCATGGTAAGTTCTTTTTCTATTTTGATGCAGTATATTAGATTTTTGACACAGCGTGCTTAGATACTCTCCTTGATCTTCATGGCAAATTGTCGACGGTGGTTCGCTATTACGACCGTATGTTGGAGGAGCGCCTGTCGAATGCATACTCGCAGCACTCAATAGGGTATGGGGCTGTTCCTCCAAGACAATACCCTGGCGCATACCCTTCCATGCCTCCCCCTCCTTCTAGTGCCGATGGAAAGGGTGGGTTGGAGAACTTCTACTATGGACAGCCCATTTCCGAAGCGCCACCGCCTTCTGCTACACCGTATGCGCAACAGCCTCAGTTCGAGAGAAGTGTTCCTGGTGGTACTGGTCATACCAGGAGCCCTAGTGTCTACCCGCAGCCCCCTCAGTCGGTTTCCTGGAATGAAACCGCATATCCTCCTGTTGCTTCTCCGCCACCCTCCAATCCGATGCAGTCACCATACTCAGGCCAAGCAGCTCCAGCGCAGTATTATACAGCACCAACGCTGCCAAGGCAAGACTACACTTCCCGACCACCAGGGGAGCCGGACATGCCGTATCAGCCGTCGCCTATGGTGCAGCATCAGGATCCTCAATACTCCCAATACCCCCCAGCACCATCCGGGTATCCGTCGGCACCAGTACCTAGCGCAACGGAGCAGCCATTGTCTGCGGACCAGCAGTCATCTGGATACCCCTACCAGCAGTATGCAGAGGCTCCTCCGATGCCAATGAATAGGCAACCGGCTTCTCAACAGCCACCACAACAAGCACAGCAATCCTACTATTACCCACCCCCGCCGCAACATGAGCCACAACAGCAGGCACATGTGCCGTCTGCATATCCACTCCAATCACAGGGTGGCACGTATCCTACTGGGGCGGACGTTTCGCCGGTTTCTGCACCAAGCACGCACTATGCACCACCTACAGCGCCTCGACCGCCTGTGGAGGAAAGCTTGATCGAGTTGTAGTGCTAATTTGTTTTTTTTTTTTTTTTTTTTTTTTTTTTTTGTCTTCTATATTTTGCTTGAGCCACGGCGTTACCCTCCTTATATAGTATGATACCAGAATAAGAGACTTGGTTGTTACAGGTAGTGAGTGTGTATACAAGCGGTAATTGGCATGGATAAAGTATCCAGTAATTTGTATGGAAAAGATCACCAATTCACTTTCGGCATTTTGTGGCGTCCTTAACGCGTAATAAATAACCCGCCGGTTGCGGTCGAGCCAAAGTGAAGGTGAGAGAGCTTCCTCAGACCTCCTCCTGGTCCAGGCTTTCTTTCTCTTTTTCCTCCACTGTCCTCATTCTCGATTTCTCTCGTCTTTTTTCCTCTTCTTCATCATCATCCTCATCAATCTTCATTCTCATCATTCACAAGTAATTATACTGTTTCACTGTATTACTGTCTTCACGTGGCATCGTTCTCTCGGTCCTTTTCTCCTCCAATTATCCTGCGTTGCGCTCCAACTCTCGACCATAGACAAGACAGTTCCAGAAGCATAATCATCATCGCTTCGTTCGTTTGTGTGGTCTGGTTATGGTTGCTTATTTGCTCTGTACAGCTTCCCCAGAAAAGAGTCACTACTGCTACGGCACTGTCCTTGCTACGGCCACTACCGCTCTGCTAGATCTCCTCCCCCGGTGCTTCTCCTCAGACCTCGGTCTCCATATTTCGCGCCGGTGATCCCTGGCCCACTCGCCGTTCGTTGAGCCGTCGCGCATTCCTCGGAGTTTTTTGCCTTGCCCAGAGAGATAGACAAGGCTCACCCACGCACCTAGTTGGCAGTCCGGCCGACCACTCTCGAGACGGCGTGTTTTTCTTTGATTATTCGCCGTCATGCCGAATTCTAATACCAATTCTTCCCCTGTCAAGCGGCCGAGCCTGGGGCGCCGTGCAGTTTCCTCTCACGCCGTTGTCACGCGCTCGGCCTCAACTACCGGAGATTCGTCCGACCCAAAATCCCACATCGTACACCGGCATCATCATCCTCGCCCGCACCTAGTCGGCCACCGTCACAACCACCACAGTCGCAACCCCTCCTACGGAAAGAACGTCAACAAATTACAGCGACTCACTTCCGGGGCTGAACCCGCTCGTCATCATCAGCGCAAAAAGTCTGCGCCCGCGACACCCGCTACGAGCCCCCCGCGCGGTGGTCCCCACGTGCGCTGGGAGGAGGGTGGGTTCGAAGATCCGAATCCGGCAGCGTCGATGAAGAAAAATAATTCGAGTCCCGCGTTGCGACGATATACGTCTACAGGTACATTTCCCAACAAGAAATCAATCGTTAGCACCGACCGTCCCCGCTCGAGTTCTGGGAAGAAGAAAACGGTGGGTTTCGAGATCGGAGATTCGGAAAACGACGACGGTGAATGGGAGGATACTACGCAGTCGCCCGAAAGCACTAGGCGCAGTTCCGTTGCACAGTCCAAGGAAAGCGTGGAGAACGCTGCAGCGCTAGTGGATCCTTTGATATTTGTCAAGCGCCCTTATCCTCAAATACCGCGAGCGACCAGTCTCCCGGAACCGACCAGTCAAAGTTTCGCTCGGGAAGGTCAGTCAACGGACGAGGAAGAAGGGCAAGAATCACAGCACGAGGAGAAAGAGAGGCAGGGACTTCAGGAACAGCAAGGGTTGCAACGAGAGAACAAACAGCAAGAAGCCGGCCAAGTACCTGAACCCAGTGCGATCGCATCTCGTCTTATCAGTCCGGCACTTTCGGCCAAAGCTCCCCCCGCCATGTCTTCCATATCTGCCATGGCCAAACCGGCGGCTATCGATACTGCCATTTCACGTACTGCTTCGCTGAACAACCTGAAAGCTGGTCAAGACGCCTCCCGGCGCACGTTGCCTTCACCAAATCCCGCCTTAGCAAGTACCCCCGGAAACCACACACAGGCAACTTCATCGTCGATCGAAGGAGGCGTTTCCAGGTTCATCGTGAACAATGGGGCTTCCAGGGCAGATTCCGATCCCAATACCCCGTCCTCGTTTCTACCACAATACCACCTGCAAACCCCGCCATCGCCTGGCACTACGATTAAGCCTCGTTCATCACCACCCTCGAGACCCCCTGGCGCAGAGCCACCATCTCGAACACAGCAAAAGCTCTGGCTACAGCGAACGGCTGCGCTGAACACATCCCCTCCTGATGGTCATGATACGGTGCCCCCATCGGTGATGGATGGGACTTTCATGGCTTCAGCGCACGGTCGACCAGGCACTGGAGCGTACGATGCGGGAAGAGCACTTGTCAACGGCTCAGCCAGATCAGGCGGTCCGGGACACGACAACGAAGCCAAGCAAACCCGCAAGGCATTCGAGAAGACCGCTCTAGAACTCACAGTCGTCCGACGATTCCAATCACCAACCGCAGATAGTTTCAGTCGGCTAAGGTCCGTCATCCAGGAGACCAGAGGTCCCGAACGAAGCAACACATCACTCGGCCAGCCAGTCAAATCAGCTCCTGCATTAACACTCCTCAGCGACGGGCAGCAGTCGTGTCGGGGATCCGGACAAGCTTCGAGTCCGGAAACGAGACAGCCTGTGGGTAGGAGGATGAGGCCATCTGTCTCGGAGACGGATGATTCGTCTGCCAACGACTCTGGTGATCGGCCGAAATCTCAACACCCATCTCAACGGATTCTTTCTACTTCAGACGATACGGCAACCGGAAATCCTTCGACTGACGACGACGCAGAACCCAACCAATACAACGACATTGAGATGATGATCCGTCGCATGTGGGATAGTCGCATTGTGGCTTCTTCTGCCTAGCCTCCTTACTTTCGGTATTTTTTTGTTATCTTAGTGCAATTGCAAAGCAAGCAACCTCACGGCGTTTCGGTTTCGCATTAACATCATGATCAGATTGATTGGCTCGGAGGAACGCATTCAGCTTATGGTTATTTACGGCAAAACGCATCGATTGCTTCAACAGGAAACACTCTTGTCTATTTCGTTTTATCGCCTTGTTTTTCTCGGTTGGCTTTTTCGTTTTTTTTTTTTTTTTTTTTTTTTTTTTTTTTTTCGTTGCATGGGACATGATTACTGTTACTTAATGTTTGTATCTAGTTTATGGCAGTATAGGGCTTGGCTTGTCTTGTTTCTTTTCATACATGCAGCTCATACATGTATACTCTGTTCTGTACAAAACAGAGTTTTGTGTGGTGCTCTGCTGTAAATATGTGGCTTAACTTAATGAGAGTGGATACTGGCAGATGATATGTATAGTAGAGCACCTCAGCGTAGAGGGTGCTGGGCCCAGACACAGAACCGTGGGCAGTTAGCCAGGCTAGACAGTGGGTGCAAAGCAATCTTTTTCTGTAAAGATTCTTGGGGACTTCAAATTCTTCATACCCAGTGGTTGCTGGATTCTTGACCTCTGGGTTACATGACTAGGAAATGTGCATTAGACCTCAGGCTCAATGTTCCACATAAAGTATATACTTCCCTACTCTCTGGGCTAGAATGTGTTAATTGATATCTCTCCTTCAATAGCATATCAGTTACTATCTATTATGAGGCTGTTGACCTCGATGAATTAATACCTAAAGGTGCAGATATTGATCGCGGAGGCACTGCAACTATTTGCTCAGTCACTTTACTTTACAAGTTACCAATACTGACTTGATTTCGCAGAGAAGGATGTGCAAAAGTTGATCCCATGGACATTCAATCATGCTGATATTGCAGAAGGAAATCGCATGGACGACTGGTCAGAAGGGGACCGTGATTTCAGCGGGTTGTTTAATGATCTTTTTACCTATCGCATCGACCTGAACGCCCAGAAAAAGGGATAGAGGACGCGAGTCTGGTGATGCAGTGCTCAGAGGTTCTTGAAAGCAGTAGATGTGGTCAATTTGCCCAAGGTTGGAAAAGTGTCTAAGAGGGTATGGTATAATCATCACCAAACACTGATCACACTTGGATGGCAGAGACCAGAAGGAGACAGATCATCGCCGAGCATTGTTCGATCAGGTTCTGAGGACATCAGGCGAATATTATAATATCAATTTTGTCCTTGCCGCTGGCCGCATAGCTGGCCAATTCCCACGCTTCAAGCCCCCAGAATCCCTTTGCTTACACTATGGTTGCCATGGATCGAGTTAGAAAAGTTCTGCGAAAGATACGAAATGCATATCTTGGATAGAACTGACTTCTAGATTGAATATGGACACTTGACTTCTATCGGAATCGGACGCATTCCCTCTGATGTTCATTCCGGTAGACCCGTCGTTGGCAACAGCGTGCTTGTCCCCTGCCACCTGAAACTCAAGCCGAGTTGTGGCAGCGAATCTGTTAGGTTTGTAAGAAAGTACTCCATACATATGATTATTTACGTTTTGCTCAGCGTCTCAGGAACGGATTGTCATTCTGGCCGGTGGGCAAACGCCTGCCATTCCCCATCACGGACAGGATATCCTTAATTAATTCTTTCAGGGCCCCGGCGCTCACACCCTTATCTTTACCCTCTGCACTCGATGTAGACATTTCAGTGATATTAGAGTCGATGCTGATACGCCTATGTTATGTTCGATTGATTGAATCCTCCGATGTGTTCGCGGTGTAACGATTGGAGAGATACTCGAAGAATATTCGAAAAGGATTATCCAAGAACTTCTCATCGTCGAATACCTTCAGATCATCTATGCTAGCTCTGCGGATTTCGCGGCGGAGAGACAAAAGCGTGAACCCTAATAAACAAACATACGTCCAGTTTACACAATGATTTGGATGACTTTACCTTCATCTGTGTCGTCCGAGAAGTATTACTCTGGAACAATGTGGTTGCTACCAACATTAAGAAGGGGCACAATACGCACAGAGTGTACCTCTTTGGTTTCCCAGTTCGAGCCTGATGGCCCATAGGTGGTAGGACCCTGTTGGATGCCGGCCGGCTGTTTCCAAGTTACCCGCGGCTTTGGGTACTCATGGGCCAAAGCATGCTTCAGCTTTGTCTCCGATGGAACAAATGGCACTAAAAATGCCATTATGGAAAGCAATTGCAGAATGCAACCGATACGCCGATCTGGTGGATTGGAAGTAGAGGTATATGATTTGTGTAAGCAGGGGCTGTTCAAGTTCGACACATTGGCTTCAGACAGCAATTAGATGGAATTGCATGACATGCTGAAAGGGAAGATTGGCCACAATAGTACACAACTCTACTCTGGAGTTGTCATATGATATACTCCGTACACAAAGCTCTAGCGCTCTCCAAATACTCACTAGTTACGCATCCGGGTTTGCACTTGCCATCCTAAGGTCTACAAACGATCAGTTTACAGTTTCTAGTGGCCAAACTAGATCATTCTGGATGATTTCTTGTATCAGAGTGTCTATATTTTTGGATGTCCCTTTACCATAAGGGTACTGCTCTTGTTGTTTGTTACATAGAAAGAAAACCTCCATTGCAGCTAAATCCATCTCCGCACTTACCATGAGGGAACACCTTGTATGAACGTAAATCCATCCGACAGAATTATTCTATTCGAATGTATTGTTAGGGTATGACCCGTTATGTCGATCCATATACAAAAATATTCGGCAGCGTATGTATGGACTGATCACTGCGAGACACTAGCGGTATGAACAGCGGCTCGTCGTTCATCAAGGTAGCCATCACCCCTTATATATATAAAGTTGGTCGAACTTCTAGTGATTTATTTGAGAAGAAAAGGGAATGTATAGTGTATAGTATATAAGACTACAGAAACTCGTGATATATACATCGATGGCTTAATGGAACTCAGAATAAAGAGTCGTAATCATACCCTAGCCCGTTCTCTACCACCTCTCCCACGGGCTCCTCCTCTACCACCGCGATTCCCACCGTGGCCGCGTGGTTGGCTTGGAGGAGGATGACTGCTCTGCTGTTGCTTTTGCTGTTGCTTTTTATCTCGGTTGTTGTTATCAGAACGATGTTGGTTCAGTTGTTGCGTCAAGGCGGAAGCATCTGATGCAGGTCGAGGACCACTGCTACCAGCACCACCATCTTTACCTCTCCCACCGCCACCGCCTCGTCTCTTGTTATTGCTGTTGTTATTGTTGCGAAATAACCCCTTACCACGACTTCCCCGCATAGCTTTCCCTTCCTGGGCCGCAGACAAAGACGCCGGTTGTTCCGAATCGGGCAGCCCCTGCACACGTCTACTCTCCTGATCCCACCATTCCTGAAACTCCTGTTCCGCCTGGATATCCTGCAGATTGTGCTTTGCCGTTGCAGCTTCGTGAATCTCGTCTTTTTCTGTCTGCTGTTGCATGAGGATGGCGGCAAGCGATAGGGAGTTTGCCGAGGGCGTGTGGAAGCTTGTTTGGTAGGGTTCTGGGCGAGGGATGTGGCGAACAGATTGGATGGCTGGTGGTTGTGGTTGTGTGTTGTTGCCTGGGGATGGAGCGAAGGGGACAGGTGCCGTGGATGGTCCAGAGGCTGTGGAGGATTTCAATGGCGATGGTGAAGGTACGTTGGCCGAAACGCTGCGGCTTTGTGTCTGTACAGGTGCTGTGGGTTTCGAGGGAGGTGTACCCGCAACCGTTTGACGAAGAGTCATGGCAGGTCGTTGAGGGGTCTTCATTGATTGAGACCCTTCTCCGTTCATCCCTGGTGGCGGATCAGGGTTGTTGGTGGGAGCCAGTGGCAGTTTCCAAGGATTCTGCGATGCCTCTTTGGCTTTCTGCTCCGCAGCAAGTCTTTCCTGCATTTGCTGCTGCTGAAGCTTCTTCCGTTCCTTTTGAGATAGCTTCGGAGTGGCGTTGCTGCTACTCTCTCGCCGAGATTCCTTGGACATGCCTAGGCTGAGATTGGACACCCGGGTTCCTGATGTCTCGGCCATGATGTCTTTCAGGTCTTTCTTACCAGCTGCCATTGGTGATCTCCAAGGAGCCTGGGCGCCCATATCTGGTGTAAAAGACAGCCCGTTCTTCCTCTGCAACGCTCCAGCTCGGGTCTCTAATGACGACTCCGCGAGAAGCGTGTCTTGAGGTGATGCCATCTGGCCATCCAAGAAGCTCCGGTCACCGAATGATTCCTCTTCGATAAGACTAGACCCGAGCAAAGGTGACTCAGTCACGTCAACCTGCCTAGATCCTCGAATCGGTGTCTTCCCTTTCATGGAATCACCTGGCGATAACATAGCTTCTTCGTCCATCTCGAACATCAAGTCATTGGTAGAGTGCTTGGACTTCAGAACCGGACTTCCCGCTACGTTTGAGATCTCTTTCAATGGTCCTGTCTTAGTCTTCGCCTTTGATGTGGATGGCGGCCCTGGCTTTTCATTACCCGTTTGTCGAGTCTCAACCCGGTCCATACGGGATTGAAGCTTCATCGAATCGATCCTTCGTTGCTTGTCACGCTCGACTAAACCGACGAGCTCCGGATATTTCTCAAAGACATAATCGTCAGTATTACGACCCCGAGATATAGGGAAGCAGGCCATTTGATTGTCATGGCATATCGAATCAAGTTCACTAAGTAATTCTTCGTCAAGGTCCTTTAGAAGTCTGTACAATATCGTCAGATATTATCGAATACAATACGTAAGAATAGCACTTACCCATTCGATAGCAAGTCCTCTAGGTTCAAGCAGATGTACTCCAGTGCAGCATCCTTGAACTCCTTGACGTAGCAAGGTGCGATGACATTAAGAAGATAGCAGACGTTGCGATTGTGCACTTTAACCACGTCAGCGCACCATTTCCATTAACATAACCCAGGCGAATGTACTCACCAAACCTGCCAAGCATCTTCTGACACACCTGGGCCAGCCTATCGATCATCAACTCGTTTGCCGTGAATGCTACCTCAAACACTAGATCAATGAAGTCCTCAAGACTCTCCGATCGAACCTCGTCGAAAAGCTGCTCTTCCGTGTCCGCATATATGTGCCGGAGTACAAAATCAAAGACATATCGATCAATGTGCTTGAGGTCGACATGGACCGCATCGTTAGGATCGGTACGACGCGACGACAGCCACTTGCCACCGGAACGGCCATGGAAAAGGGCTTTGAAAAACGGACACCGCTGACAAACGACCTGGCTATGGACTCCTCGAGACCCACCGTTCAATTCGACGACCACATCTGTATTCTCAAAGAATGAGGAATCATTTATTGCCCAGGCCATATCCGTTTTCAAAGCTTTGGTGGGCTCGATCATCAGCCTGGCTGCTCGTTCCAGGGTAGGTAGTTCCAGATAGGTGCCAATCCGCATAACTTCTGTACGGACTTGACGATATCTCGAGGTATGTTCGGGCGAGACTCTGGTTAGCTGCCAGACATCAAGCGTGTTGTCCGTGTACAGGAAGAATGCAAGATTCAGAATGGCCAAGAAATCAACGTCGTGAAACCGTATTTGACTTCTTCCGTCGGGTCCGTATTCGATGTCAAGGACATCAGGTATAGAGAAATAATACTTTTGTCGAAATTCATGAAAGGCCTTCCGTAGAACTGAGCTGCGTCCAGCTAACATGATTTCATGGACAGGAATCCGCGCCTCTGACTGTGAGCTTTTAAGCCAAACCGTTCCATTAGGTGCATCAAATCGCCCAGATAGGAAACGGGTTTCAATATCTGGGTTTGACAGAACTGTCTTTTTGATGGACATGACGGGACCAAATCTAGATTCCAAAGAGTCAATCTCTGTGATTTGTGCAGTATCGACCGTTGTCATTAGAGAATCAAACGGCGACAGCGGCAGAAGATCGTTCCACAAGGTGCTCTGGTCGATTTCGATCTGCTCCCGAGTCACATTGCAATCTCGTTGGGCGACTGCATATGCTCCAAAGGCGTTACTGCGCACCCCGACGACCCGCGAGAGTCCGGGAATACGAACAAACTTGTAGTCCTTCAATGCCCCTTTAGACTTGTGACGCTTTTCCTTTCGCCATGCAGAGCCGGAACTTGTGCAGATAATGATCGAGCCATCCTGCCCGACATCAACATCCGTAACAGCCATGTAGGATCTTTTCACAGACCATTCCCGAGTAGGAGAAGAAAGTGAATGTTTTATCTTTGACGGGTTTGTCGTCGATGTTAGAGCTGGGGGATTCTCCGATTTGTTGACTTGGACGGTGAAGACATCACCAGAACTGGACAGAGCACAGATAGCGCTTCCGCCAGACGTGATCTTCACGATATGATTGACCGAAGTATCATATCGAGTGGCCATGAAGCTGTCTCTGATAAATCTCGAACTGATTTCCAGAGGGAAGATGATCTTCGAGTAACCATACTGCGAAAACACCCAGACTTCATGGTTTTGGAGAAGCACGGCTGTAGCATGGTCGATGGCAGTGATCATTTGGATTCCGGCACTGAAAAGTGATGCTCCCACACGTCTGGGTGTTGTCTGAACCTCCAGCGAGCGCGCATCCGAATCGACGAGACCAAGCTGGCCCTCATTCTTACCAAATGTGTACAGTCCAGAGTTACTGAAAACGACCGAGTGAATCGCTGACGCTGCAGCACCGTATATAATTTCCTTCTTAAATGGGTTGTATATCTGCCGCGGGGTCGTTTGAATCGGGACATCGTCACGGTTTTGTGCCCTAGGGAGATTGTACCCCAGTTGGCCAAATTTGTTGCTTCCCCAACTAAATATCTCACCTTGCTCTGTGATTGCCAGGGAATGATCCTGGCCCAAAGCAATGGAAATGACTTTCTTCTTTGCAAGACCACCTGTTTCAATGCAAGCGAAGCTGAACCTGGTAGACTCATCGCCAGTTCCCAAGCGGCTGCCTGGACCAAACCCACACATGAAAAGGTTTGATTCAGGATCATCTGTGAGAATTGCCGTATGAAGCTTCGACATGACCACATTTTGGAATTTCACCAGTTTGTTCTTGATCAGCACTGGTAGATCTGTTGACGGGTCAGATACATAATGTCCATTATCTGACCGTTGCTCCTGATATTCCCGAAAGAACCGCTGTAAAAGATGGTCTGGTCGTTCGAGCGTGACTCGTTCTGGGAACTGTCGGTCATCCTGGTCACCAAGACCAAGGTTCAAGTTTTTGTTGCTACCAAGCGTGAAGATCTCGTCAGCACCCAAATTCAGACGAGGTTTCAAGGTAGTTCTTCCTGCATAAATGTCATCGCTATCCTGGTCATCATGTGATGGCGCACTGGACGCAGCATCGCTACCCTGAAGGTCCGCCGCAATTGTAGGATCTAATACTGTCGCAGGAGAAACAAATTGTTTGATGTCGCGAGACATGATGGTGGCCCCGTAGACATCGAAAGGACTATATCCCTCTCGATCTTTGATCTTAATCAAGCCTCCATTTTGGTGGCCGGCACTGCCCAATTTACTGAAGTCGGTGGCATCCCACAAATCCCGGGCCAACAATGTTTGAGCAATCATAGCATTCCCTGCATACAACGCTCGATGCAGAGCGGTCCATCCACTCTCCTCATCCTGCGCGTATATATCCACCAACGGTATCTCCAACAAAGCGCTCGCAAAATCGACTGCTGTGGGCTTGGACGACGAGGAGATTAGGTGAAGGAGGGTCCTGCCATGTAGGTCTCGTGCGTTCAAATCCGTTCGTGATAAGGTCGTACCGGGACGCGGGCCACCACCTCGATCAGCACTCGGTGAGCCTGGCGAAGTGCCACTCAACTTTTTGCTTTTTCCAGAAGGACCAGTGGACGAAGCGATCATCGCACTAGGACTTCCGACTTTGAAGGTTGGTGTTCCTCCACCTCCCGGAGCCCGTTGGCCGCCAGAGGTATAACCAGCGTTGGCCAGAACCCGCCGGAAGCTCTCGACATCATCTCGCAAAAAGTATTCCCAGAGTTTGCTGCTCATGTGCCCCGAGTTATCGTAATGCAGAACCTCTTATCAGCCCAAGACCAGAACGTCGTCTTTCAACGGCGCACTGGATAATAGGTTGGCGGGCGATAAGAGCGTTCCAGCCGAAAGAGAGACAAGTAACCCGTACAGGGAGGTGAACAAATAGGCTGTATGCAGTAGCGATCTCTTCAGCGATTCGAAGCGAAGGTGTAATAGACGCTGCGGGTTGTAAATATCTAAGACGACGCGATAAAAGGAATTGTGCGCGAGAGCGTGCCGAGGCGAGTTTGTGCGGAGGGTGGCGCTGACAAAATATGGTTATCGGGAACAAAAAACGAGGGGGACGCGATCGCGAATTCAAAGTCGAGGAAGGGGCTTCAACACGGATAATGGGACGTATGGATACAAGCGAGTGGAATATAGATATGAGGGGCAACGAAGGAGTTGATATTCGGAAGATCAAGGAAGGAGGGGAGTCACTCGAGATGATCGCGATGGTCAGGACACTGGCCAATCAGAAGCCACACTTCCCTCCATGCCCCCGAACAAGAAGACACTGTAGGCCAAATGAGGACCCCGAGATTCCGTTCATGCTGGGGAACGGTTCACTGTATTCCAAACTCCCAGAATCCGATAGTGCGGGTGGGTTGTGCTGATGGTGTCAATGGCCCCGGATTACCTCGGTATACTTGTACATGGTTATGGACAAATGGGCAGCTATTGATAGATTAGGTGAACAAGTAAGACCGTAGATCAACGGATAATCTATTATGGAGTTCATTGAGTTGGTTTTGTATAGCCGGCTGCCTATGCACCTGTGCACTCTAATGCCGATCCGACTATAGTCATCCTGAATATTCCGTACGGAGTCCTATCCAAGGATCTAGGATAGTTATGACAGTATCCCGTCGTCAATGACTTGGCAGTGAAAACTAAGCATCTGCTGGACAGGTGTTCAGGATACAAGTAGACAACTGTGCTGACCAGAAACCCGGCAGCGTCTCGCAGCAGCTGACCTTCTCACCAAAATCAGTCTTGGTTTCACGAGAGCAAAAGATGCTATTAAGAGAGGACAGTCATCTAATCATAATGTCAACCGATGAACATGATCATACTTTGCATTACTCCATAGAGTGATCGGAGATTAACTCTGTTCGTTCCAGTTATAGATAGAAATTAAATATTTATTCGTTTTCTCGAAGGATCTCGCAGTTGGGTTGGCAAACCAGCTTACCATAACACATGTCGATGATGCATCTTTCCAGCATATCGTGTCTGTATTCCGTCCTCCATCTGCGTAGAAAGGAATAGAGAACAAAAACAAAGGATCATTCTATAGCTCTCTGGAATATAGAAGATGTCTCAGATTGCGCCCGCATAGACTGATTACCCGGATGGGGGAACCAGGTCCATCCCGACTACGATTAAATGCGTCGGCCACTCAGAAGAGGTTGTTCAGCTGCAACTCTGTCGACACCCGTCATCCCCGGACAAGCCACAGTGCATATCCCCTAAGAGTCATGCAGCACCGGCGCTCAGGGAACATATTTTCAGACACGTTTTCCTAGTGAGCGATTGTTGGCGAGGCAGCCAGTCGTGACGGACGATTTGGACCCATGCACGCAGCTAAACAAGCATTGACCATTCAATATTATTTGCTGGAACACTAGATGCCTCACGAGCAAACAAATGGCTTTAGTTAGCCAATGGAGCCAGAATGCCAAAAAAAAAATTAAAATTAAAATTAAAAAAAAAAAGTGCAAGGGTGCATATGTGCAAGTACTCCGTGTACAAGTACTTGTGGAGAAGGAAGATAGAGTGACGAGATATGGAGATGGTGCCTTCGTTACATACCAGCTGTATTCCTTTGTAATAATACCGCCATGTACCAGTCATTACGGTTTATTACCTCTCCGCTTTTGACTTTTCACGCCTGTGACAACTGGCAGAAAGGTGTTGGCTTAACTGGAACCTTAACGAGGAATAGGGGGCCGCAACCCGATTCTCACCGCTGCTGATCAGGTCAGTCTGATTCCGCGTCTTATTTTTGTGACGGTATGATACGATACAGATGCATGCATTCTTACCGCCTTCAATGTCCGGGATCAGCAGCATCAGATAGTAGTATTTACTACATATACCGGAATACATCAGGAAAGAAAAGAAGAGAAGTAATACATAAAAAGACATAGAATTAAGTGAAATCCCAGAAAATACACCTTGTCTGCAGATATTTTTGCGTAATGTCTGGTATTCAGTGGTCAGGCTGACTGGAATCGAGTCACGGGTTATGCGTCACTGACCCTCAACAAGTCACTTGCGCCTAAGTTATCTATCGACCTCGACTATCGCTTCTTCCTTTTCTTCCTCACTCATCTTCCTCTCCTCTTCTCCTCTTTTTTTCTTTTTTTGAAATTTTCTTCCTCTTCTTCCTCTTCTTCCTCTAGTGATCATGAATCCTTGATATATCCTCCCCCTTTCCTCACTCTTTGAACCCGCCCTTCCCCTTCTACCAACGGCTGGCCTGGATCTACCAGTCGTCAATGCGGAGAAGCTCCTAAGGTTGTCTAGACCGCATGCTCCGAAATCTCCCACGATCCTCTACTTACTCTACTTTGTCTGCTAGGAAACGATGCAGCATTTGCCTGCCATCGTGATCCCGCGTCTGTCTGTTGCTTAGCGCCGCAGCCTTGTTTTCGTGATTCTTCTTGATTTCCTCGTCATCGGCTCTCTAGCATGGCCCTCCGCAGCGGATCCGTTACCTTCCCCATTCGCTCCTGATCGAACTGAAGAGACTACCTTTATCTTTTTGAGTGAAGGCCATTTAATCGCCTCGATTGCGCCGACCCGTTCTATCTACCTATCAAACCCCGAACCTGGTGTCTTGTCATGCACCAACATCCTCGATCGTCGGCGCCTACTGCGCCACCCAGGCCGAATTCCTCCCGTTCGATAGATCCTCCCGGTTCACCAACGTCAGATACAAGGACAAATAGTAGCAGAGGGCTGGGAACTGAAAGCGGGTCGGACTCGTCCGAGTGGACGCAGAAAGCTACTCCGCCTACGAAAGAAGTTATGGCCAAACTGAACCAGATCATCTCGGTACGTCTCTACCTTGATAAAGGGAGAAAGTATGATGGATCACTGATTTTGCTGTGTGACCTCACAGAACTATCATACCAAAGCCGCTTTGATCATTCTCCATTCTCGCGTGAAATTACCACCCTCATTCAGCAAGGGCTCTGATACTCCCAGGGTGAACCGATGGGTACGTCTTTCTTCCATCTGCCAATTCTGCATCAAGAATTGTGATCACGGGGCTGACTCTTATCCTATGCGTTCAGTTCAACGTGGAGCTCGACGATACCGACGTTCTCAGAGATCAACTCCGAACATGGAGGTTCTGCGATGCTACCGAAAACAGGCCGCCGCCTTTGATTATTGAAACCTATCTAGATACTAGAAACCTCACAAATAATCAGAGCTTAGTGATCCTTGATGAGAATGGTAAGAGGTGGGATGTATTGGAATCCTTGGCTATCTCTCGGGAGGTCCATCCCTCTAGGGCTACTCAAACCGGGTCCGACGATATCATCCTTGAACGATGGAAAGTGGAATTAGGCAACACTTCCAGCAGACTACCGGCTGACCTTGGCTCCATTCTACCAACGGTATATAAAAAGAGCATTGTTCTCTTCCGATCCCTCTTCGCCTACTCCAAATTCCTACCGGCTTGGAAATTTGCCAAACGCAACAGGAAGCTACCCAATCCAGCTTTGCAAATCAAATACCGGATCCTGGATGCTCACGATCATACTATTAGAAATTCGGGGTTGGATCATTTGACTGTGCCATTATACGAGACCAGTGGCAAGGTGGTGGATACACACAGTTTTGGCACCACAGAATCTCCCGCTGGTCCTTTCTCGGTTGAGATCACCTATCGGACAAGCTGTGATTTTCGAGTGGATGATTCAGAGGCTCTATTGAGCTCACGCTTCATGGGAGCTGATGACGAAATCTTTCGTCCATCGATCCCATCAGATGGCATGGGAAAGGCTGAAGTCGGATCAGTGCCCATCCAAAAGCAGCTCGTCGGGGATCCCGATCCAAGTCGCGCCTACGGGAGTTTGTCGACCTTCCATCACGTCGGTCCAACGACCGGTGCAAGTCCGATATCCGCACTGCGGATGGCAAGAAATACCGGTGCCCTCTCTCCTTCCCCGACAGGTTCCCCTTCTCATCAAAGGCCTTTATCGACTGCCCAGATCAGTTCTGCGGGACGTACTGCTGTTCCTGCCCTTACAGGCGAAGGTGGCCATGCTAGACGTTCATCAATGTCTTTTCAACCATTCAAGGCCCCACCTCTGTCCGCGTCGCCGTCGCTGGTGGACCCTCCACTTGGCGCATCACCCCGTTCGAGCGCGTCCCGGCTCACCTTTGAATCAAAAAACGTACCACCTACTTCGGTTCCCACGGCCACCCGCAAGCCTATGCCAACAAACCCCGAAAACACGATAGCGTCTTCCAACTCAGCGTCTCCCAGACCCGCCTCAAACTTGAGATACAGCAGCGCCTTCTCCCACCGCCGTTCGCGGCCATCATTCGGGGGTTCCAACAAGGCAGAGGATGACATTTCCAGCGGAAAAGCCAGTGTGGCATCATCAGCTGCTCAGCCGGGCTCCGGGTTACTTACAGAACCTACAGGAACAAGTGCGGATTCAATACATGCAGATGATGAGAACATTTCAGAATTTCTCAAGATGCTTGATTTACGAAAGGATTTAATGAATCCCACCAGCTCCGCGGTGCATGATGCTCCTTCTCGCAGGACCACGGCCACAACGGCCGCCTTGAACCGATTCCAACGCATGCGAGATTCCAATGCAGCCTTATCGGACTCGATGTCATCCTCCTTGCACCTTCATCGCTCATCCAGTTCGTCATGCAAACAATTGTCGGGAGTTCCACCAATGGCAGCAGGGACATCTGTCTCTACAGCCTCGTCGCCTGGA